TTGAAGAGAAGGTGTTCATCTGATGTGATAATACATCCAATCCCATGCATTCTTCAAACATATCAGGTTTAAGTCTGTTTGAATAAAACAAGAATTTCTTTTAGAAAATAAATACACTAATATTAAATCTTTCTCTTAATTGCCTTTAATGAGCTTCTAGAGTGTGATTTCATTAGAAAAGCTGAAAAAAAAAAATCCTTTCCAGATACTTCAGGCTCATGTGTTTGTTTAAAAACTCCCGAAACTGGAAGAGGGAATTCTTTGATCATGAGAAAAGTACTGTTGGCTAGCAGCACCCAAAGTGTGTTATGTGTCTACCTTTCTGCCTTAATACATAATGAGCTGGCAGCCCGTTGAATTATTTTCTGATAGCAAGTTGTTTGCAGTATCCAGGCAAGAGTGCTGACAATTAAAATTTATACTGAATGTTGCCATTTTCCTACTTTGTGTCAGAGCACCAATTTAGTCCTACTGCCTTGGCATACAAAATTGCAAAATCATTGACATGGGAAGCAAACTTTCCAGTTTTGACTGGCATACATTCCTGCTTTCAGAAAGTTTGTTAAATACCACTGTATTGCACTGACACCCACTAGTAATACTTTACATTTTAAACACCAGTTTCTAGCATTTTCACTAGTCTGTTTTATTTATTTCATTTAGAGTGAGAAATAGCTCTTGGAGCTACTTTTAACAGCAAAAGAATTAGCAGAATGCTGGAAGTCCATTGGCATTGTCTGAGAAACCGCAACTCAGTTTTGGAAACAGCAGTCTGAAAAGAGAGTTGTGAATGATCTGAAAACGTTCAGCTTTCTCTAGAGGGAAATAGGTTTCCCTTGTAAGTGTTGCAAAATGTTTATCAAAGACTGGTTGTTTCTGTAACTTAGGGGAATTGCTACTGCTACAGTGAAATGATGCAAGCTATGATGATAGCATAGGTGGGAGAAGATGAAGAGTTAACATTATTGGCCATTTGATTTGCTGTCTACTGGTATTACTTCATATTCTAGATCTGGGGTGCAATTATGGAGAAATATATTGACTCTTTCCCACTTACCCCTCATTGCTGTCTGTGCTTACCTGACATTTCTTCCTATCCTTGAGGGATTGTGCTACACCCTTTCCAGAGATTAGGGGTTGCCAGAATTCAGAAGGAACTACAGTTGGCTCATCACTCTACACTTCTATTTGCTGTCAGGCATCCTCACACACCTAAGTGTCCTGTAACCTGGTGATTTGCAAATCACTCTTTGGCCTTGTAATAATTCAACAATTGTCTTGAATTTACTTTGGCATATAACACTAAACTTATTACTGGATCTGTATCATCACACAGGAAACCACCCTAACTGAGTCTTTATATTGTGTTGTATCTTCTGCATTATTCTTTCTGCCCTTTTATTTCTTCCCTTACTTGGTCATTTTCTGTTCTGATCCTAAGCAGATTCAGTACATTCTTTCTTCAGCTGAAGCCATATATTCAGGCTTGTTATTCACTACCCAGAAGCTTGAAGTTGCAAAACCCGTATCATTTTTTATTATTCTGATTTTTTTCTAATATAGAATGTTACATGTCATAAGAAACTGGAAGGGAAGTTTGGGCTACTGTAGTTTGAAATTTAATATTTGAAGGCACTTTGAAGTACCTAAATAGTGGTGGCAAATCACAAAACTGGAAGGACCTATTGCTGTAACTTACAAATAGTAGAGAGTGGTTGAAGAGTTGTCATGTGGTATTATAGTGAAAATTGTGTTCCAGTAAAATTATCCTTGTGTAGACTTTGAAGGCTTGAAGACATTCTGACTGGTCTGTGGCTTGAGCTCTGGGTACAGATTTTACACCTACAACTGAAGATAAACAATACACTTCTTATGGTGAATTTCTCCATGTAGTTATCTATTTGCATCACTGTCATAACACGTGCACAGTCTTCTAATTCCAAGTGTCTAGCTGTGCATATTATTCCACAAGTATTGGTATATAAAGCAAAATGGGGTGTCTTTGATCACAACATGATGCTTTTGACTAGGCTGACATTGCAATAAAAGCGTATGTGAAGTTATAATACATGATGGCATTATAGTATTTCCTCCCAAAATCATACATACTAACGCAACCCACTATAAATCAGTTTTAGGTTTGATAAAACAGTTCATTTATTTAAGAGAACCTTTAATTTAGATCATAAACGTGTTCATAGATTAGTTACAGGAAAAAAATTACAGAGCAAATTTTTTTCAGAAATCTCTGTCTATTATGAAAAAATTGCCTGACCTAACTATAGTTTAGAAAGCAATTATTCCATAATATAGGCTAACCTTTCATATTTTGGTCTTTGGGAAAACATGGTTTTAAAGTTACACAATAAACTTTGAAAAATGACCATAAATATTTTGAAAGCATATTTTTGCTAGACATATTGTGTTCTAAATATCTATTTATCTGAGGAAGTGCAACAGTTTAAGTGGAATAATTTACAGCTTCTCAGGTAAAGAAAAGTGCTGTGCTAAAGATTTACTAAACAGACACTTATTGAAGATACATAATTCCTCCTTTAAAAATTACCTAAATGCATATTTATACAAGGGATTATAAGCATAGCTCTGGCATAGCCATTTGAGTTTGTCAATTTAATACATGTTTTAGAAAGGTGCTTAAATACAATAATGTTGAAAGAGGTCTGTTGGGAAATTATAAATGCCTTTAAAATTCCTGCAGGTGAATTCCTGTATGTGTTCAAACAATGTGTTATAAAAGTTCTTCTAACCTATAGAATCCTATTTTATTATTCATCATGAGTATATATAATGATACTGGATCAAAACAGCTCTTACGAGTAACAGCCAAGATTTTTTTACATCAATCACATTGCTATTAGATCTGATTTCCCTTCTATTCAATGAGTAGTATTCTGTTCTTTGTAAGAAGTACAGCACAGGATCTGGATAAACAGCTTTTTTCCCCCAACAGTGAAGCTTTTACTGTAACATAGTCTATTGACTTGCTGCCAATCATTAAGTTTCATACATTTTTTTTGTAACTCTCAAAGGAAATCTGATTTTATATCTCCTTACTGGGATTTCGATGCCATGTTCTTAAAAAAAACCACCAACCTACCAAAACTCAATACATCAGGAGAAAGTGTATATAAGTGTATATAATATAAAAGTGTATATAATATGAGTGTAATTGTAGAATGTGATTTTTACTTGCGATGTGCTGATAAATTGAGATATTATAAGCAGTACAAACCAATATGTTTAAATTTGTCTTCAGTATTTGTTACCCAGGCTGAAACCTTCTTATAGCTTGTATCTTACTGATTTAATTTTCTTACACACAGAAGTGTTTTTAGAACATAACACGTTGTCTGCATATTTCAATACTGTAATTTTTTTTATGAATGACTTATTTTAGAGAGAATTTTGGCTATGTAATCAGCTGATTAAAGTGTACAAACAACACTGTTAATCTAGGTAATAGGTGAATGCCCTCATTCAGATCTCATTTCGGACGTGCTGATACAAATGCAATAAATATCATTTGTGCTTTGGCATTTTAGTGGTTCCTGTTCTGCGTAGTGTTGAGCCAGAAGGACTGAATAGCAAGTCTGCAGATCGTACTTGCAAGTTCTGTTGGTTAGCTCATCCTCATCACCACCGTGGTTTAGCAAACCTCAAGGCACTACTTTGTGTTAACTATCTACTTGAAATAGTCATCTAAATTTGCTACTCTATGGGTTCTTAATGGAGGTCTAACATAGCCTACCTGTTTACAGTAGCTGTAATATGGCTTATGGTGAATGGGAAAAATCAAGAGTCCATATCAAAGGGAACTGTTGAAGTATGTGTTAGAGACAACCACTGATTTTTCTCCAGCAATAGTAACAGATAAAAGGGGAGTATTTCATGAATGTGTCTTTATAGATATGATTGAGTCTGGGTTTGTTGAAATATGAATATACACACACCTTTCTGCATCTTTCTTGATATCTGTGAGTATGTATATTGAAATCTATCCCTCTGCATATACGCATTTCTGCCTCTGTGATTGTGCGCTCTTCCTGAAATGCTGAAGAGTATTTAAAACCTAAAATATACTGTAACAGTCTTTCAGTAATTTAATTTTTGTCTTTTTCATAATTATGCTTTGTATGTGAAGTTTTCATATGTTTCATGACTTGCTGAAATAAATGATTGTTACTTCCACAGCTATATATTGCATTTGGTATAATACCTTGTTAAAGGACAGAAAAGCAATATGGCATTGTGTTTTCCTGTTTGTTTATTATTATGGATATTTAAGAGAATACAGAGTGTCTTTATTTAGCATTTTCAAAAAATTCTAGTGCTGTTATGCTGCTAATATGCATAATCTGTCAAAGTAGGATGCACAGTGTTTTGGTGCTGGAGGTTCTTTAATGTTGAATTTTAACTGATCTAAATTTTAGAGCTGTTTGACTGAATGTCAAGACTTACTGAAATATGAATCATAATCTCCATCAACACACATTCAGTCTATATTCTCTGGTCATCTTTTAACAGGCTAACATCTGAAAAGGGTTTGATTTCAGTTGACGATAAAAGATACTTAAAAGCAAATTAATACCTTCCATGGTTAGCTTGGCACATTTCCGACTAACAGTGACAGGGAGACCATAGAATAAGTTTCTTTACTTGATTAAGAAACCTCACACCTTAGAAATTATAATGAAGAGGAGTAAAAGTTTTCTTTATGTAATTGTAGCTCTTCAAATAAAGTAGGATAGAGTTTCCTAAGACTTACTAGTGTAGAATACTCTAGCTAATTCTTTTGTTCCTGTTTATTAAGGCTGAATATATACAGATGTATTAAGTAAGTACTATGTATTAAGTGAAACAAGAAGCAAACACTGGCAAATACTTCGTACCTTTGTGAAAGGCATTTAACAGTAAATGTACATTCTTGTTGTTGTTTGAGGGTTGTTTTTTTTTATTATTGTTACTTTTTTTTTCTCCAGGAGCCAAGAGGGAGTTCAAACATCACCATGGCTTCAAGCTAGGAATTCAGCCTGACCAGAGCTGTATCCCAGATATTTTGGCATTGCAAGCTGAACCTGACACATGCTACAGTTTTATGCACAATAGAGCCAGTTTTCAGTCTTCAGTCTATTCCTTCAGCCTGAGTGTCACATCCAGTCCCAAAAGAACAATGGAAAATGGATTTTCAGATTCTTTGTATCAATAATCTTTTAGAAGGAAAAAATTGCATTAATGTAAAATGATGCAATTAAAGTGCAATTTTGTTGCTACCCTTGAGTTGTAGTTCAGCTTATGTATTTTTTGACATTAATTTTACGTTTCTATGAAAATGTGCTTTCATATGTTCACATTTCTTTGCTTCTCATTCTTTGCATACCAAAACAGGTTTGTTATTTTTTTAACTTTTATTTATTGCAGTTGTTCATTTTTTATGTAGTATATTTTTAAATGTTAAAGAATGACACATTTTGGGTAATTTTCCCCAGTCTTAAAAAAAAAAAATCAATAAGCCATTTTAGTCTCTATCTATCAAAGTTGTTTCATACTTGTCTATTTTAAAGCAGGACTGCAATACTTTAATAGGATTGAGAGAGCTATTTGAAATGTATGCCAATGATTCCTGTCATTTCATGGCAGCCCTGCCATGGTTCACTGAGCCCCCTCTTTTCTCTTGTCAGCTCAACTGAAGACAAGCATTTAGTTGCAAACTTTAAGCAGGTTGTGCAAAACAGAAATGATGTGACTGCTTCTCTTCCTGCACAATAATGTCACTGCTGGTCAATGTGAGAAGGTCAGGTTGCTTCTTGTAAAGCTACATGATACCACTTGCCTATTTGAACAAGTTAAGTTAGCTGCTGAATCTGGTCCCTGCAGGCGCTGAAAACTCTCCTTTTATCAAGTCTGCATTTCATCAGAAAGACGAACAATTGTGCAGGGAGGATTTCTGATGATATGTTTATGTACTTTATAAGGACAGTTCCCAAACCAGTGTTGCAGGTAATATATCTAGTTTAAGCTGAAAGACTTTAAAGTAATGGCTGTTTTGACCTTCAGATAGACTCCCTTTTTGTTGTTGTTGGTAGGACCCAAGAGTGACGCCCATCTTTGATGCTGACAGAATTTAAAGCAAGGCCATTGCCCTGCATTTTCTGCCTTGTAGCACACAAAAGTAAAATTGTATGTCAGGCCGAGATGTCGGGGATCTGACAAGATGCCCCAGTGACATTTCAGCTGGAAAGAGCAAGTGTCTTGCAACCAAGTGGTCAAATATCAAATAATAGGTCAAGCAGGAAGGAGCTGAGTTCTAACCACAAAGAGGTTTCTGGTAACTTACTTGACAAGCTTTTGGGTGCTTTGTGGCTTGACAAAGTGATGTTCTGTTGGGTACCGCCAGACAGACTGTTCTTTATCGCCTTCAGAAGATCAGACATTGACATTGATTAAACTCTTTAACCCTTAAAGGTTAAATCCTAGCAGTTTCATCATTGTGAATGAAGAACAAAAGAAAATTTGCAATATACCATTTGTTTTCATATTAATCACTGAACTCCCTAGTGCTATTAACTTCTGATGTGCAATGTAGTTTTTGACAAAAAGATTGAATGCAAAATCTATAGAATAGATTGTTTCTCATCATGGGCCACTGATACATTAGAAAAATAATATTATGCATTATGGAATTTGTAATTTGTTCTAATATGTCAAGTGTAGGATTTGATTTTAAAGCCTTCTGGCTACTACTGAAATTCCATTCTGGATGGAAAACAATGCTTACATAGGTAATACACCACTTAAAATGACCAAAGTCTTCCAAATACCAGGTACCAGAAAAGCTAGAATAAATCTCAAATTTACAACATCTGTAATCTTTGATTAAAGTTAGCATCAAGTGTTCAGGTATTCCCCTATTGCACAAGTCGATCGCTTCACAGCCATGATGTGCATATATGTATGCATACTACTACTACTACTACCAATTATAATACTGATAATTATAATGCTACTACTAATAATTAATACTAATAACAGAGCCATGCAAAACCAAGTAACAAATTCTGCAGAGCTCTCACATCTTAGAGTTGGCTGATAGATGAAGAACACTCCTTTTCTCTATGATGATGTGTTTAGTCTTGAATACTTAAGAAAGAAGTTTCATTTCGCTCCAGAAGTCTTGGCTCCCCTCTTCCCTGACAGTGACTGACTGTTCCTGGTAAAGGCACTGCAAGACTGTATTCTGCTCTTTCAAATACAGTGTTGAAGATCTGTTATATTTATAAGAAGAATGAAATAATATATATTACCAAGCATTTTTCTCTCTATTATGTATAGAAGCATGTACGTGCTTTACTCATTAAAGTATATCCTCATGGTATTTTATATTTTGAGAAAGAAAATGTCTGTTCTTTGCTACATGACCTCAAACTGCTGCAGAAATTTTGCAGCATATCTGTCCTTTCTCATCATTGCCATACGTTTAGTATTGTACATGCAGAGATGCAAGAAGGATTTCTTTCTGAAATGTTTTCCTTTTTGAAATCAGTATCTTATAAAGACTAGGACTGATTGGCTCCAGTTACTCCAGTTACTGCTCCAAGCATAGGTTCATGTGATTTCACAGGGGCCATAGCAGTTGCAAACTGAATGTAGTTAGTTAGAATAATCTAATGAGCTATTACTTCTTACAAGAACTAGCTTATATGTTGTCACTGAAAGGGGAACATCTAACTCATTTACTCTGTTTAAATATTGAGCAACTCTGAGTTACAGCCTATTTTTTTAAACTCACACACTTTGAAGAGACTTTGAAATATCTTTTCTTTGGATGTCAGATGTCCCATTTGTAAAGGAAAACTCCTCTTACGTTATGAAGTTGTTGAGTACTAAACCAGATCATCATTAGTCAAATACTCCTGTGTTGCTTTTCTAGGCATCTGGTAAACTGAAGTTTGTGATAAATTCCAAATGAATAGAAGAAATCCAGCTGGCAAAATCTTCTGTTGGTAGTTTATAAATGAGACTACCGAGCAATTCTTTCCCTTTTTGGGGACACAGTAAAAATCATGCTTGTGTAGAATGGGGCAACATGGTAACACTAGCTGTCATGAGCATCCTGACTGTTTTATATGACCTTCTCTCTCTGGGGGGGAACTGGGAGGGTAAACCCAGTACACTTGTACTGCTAAACCCAGGACACTTGCTTCAAAAATTGCTAAGCTTGAGACCTGGATCCTTACTTTTGGAGCGTTTCATGTGTTGGGCCTTGGATTTCAAGAGGACTGCTTCTACTTCGATAACATCAGCTCCATCAGCAGCATGGCTCCATGAGAACAATCCATTTCCTTAGAAGAAAGCCTATGATTGGTGGGACTGGAATATTGTTTATGGTTTATAAATGTGGTACAATAAATAATTTGTCAGAGATCTGCCTTCTGGTCAGTCTCAAAATTCATGTTAGATTATTTTCTCACCAAGCAAGTCATCTGTGAGAAAGAGACTGTGAAATATATGATTTATTCCCTGCAAGAGGAAGTTTTGCAGCTTAATACAAATTGTGTATGTGCCTGTGTGCACATATGTGTGTATACTTCTCAGCAAAGACTTTGGTAATTTGGCTTACTGTATTATCACTCTACATATTATAAGCAGGTCCTACAACACCAGTAGTACAGAAGGGCTTTTTTGGCTCCCCCTGCCTCCCACACATATTTGCAAATTCAGCACAAGTTTTACAGTGAGTAAAGTTTGGTATACAATTATGTATTATATACAGTTATATGGTATACGATTTCCATTGCTGGAAAAAACCTTGTTTGCCTTCACCAAGTTAATCCAGGGCAGCTGAGATTGGAAGGCATCTCTGGAGATCATGTAGTGTAGTGCCCTTGCTCAGAACACAGTAAGCTACAATGGGCTGCTGAGCCTCATTTCCAGTTGGGTTTGAATATCTGCAAGGATGGAGTTGCCTTTGACAACCTGTTTCAGTGTTCAGTCAACCTCAAAGGTGTTTTTTCTTATGTTTAAATGGAATTTCATGTGTTTCAGGTTTGTGCCCATTGCCTCTTGTCCTGTCACTGAGCATCACAGAGAATGGTGTGGCTTCCTCTTTGCTTCTCAGTCATTTATACATGTATATAGGATCTCCCTGAGCCTTCTCTTATACAGGCTAAAAAAATCACAGCTCTCTCAGCAACTCCTTGTGTAAGAGATGCTCCAGCCACTGTATCAGTAACCTCTGTGATCCTTCACAGGACTCACATCAGTATGTGTGTATCTGTCATATACTAGGGAGCTCAGGACTGGAGCTGTTACTCCACATATGGTGTCACCGGAGCTGACTAGAGGGGAAGGATCACCTCCTTATGCCATGCTGGCAGTATTGGCCCCAGTATTGCCCCTGGAGTACACCACTAGTGACTGACCTCCAGGTGTACATTGTGTGCCTGATCACAACCATTTGAGCCCACCAGTTCAGACAGTTTTGAAACCAGCTTACAGTCCATGTATCTAGTCCATACTACCTTGCTGTATAAAGGGCTCTCAAAATTGCCAAACACTGCTAAAGCCCTGGATTAGGTGAAATGCAATTGTTTTTTTTTTTCATTTAAGTTAGTTTGATCATTTACACAAGCATCTGATCACACTGCTGTCATCCTATACATGAAGGTTTTCCAAGGTGCTAAATTTTATATAAATCTGCATGTTCAGTGGTACAATTTAGCTGCTAAAAATTATCATAACTCTCTTTTGAAATACAAAGTTGCTTTAGTAGCATTTTTCTCCTGATGTTTTTTGTTGTTGTTTGATTATTCTCTAGTGAGCAAAACCCAAGAAGCCCTTGGCAGTATCACAGTTTAGAACAAATTTTAATATGAAGAGCATCTTTCTTCCATTTCTGGTGATGAACTCTCTCCATCCTTTTGTTGATTTGCCTTGAAATCCAAACTCATGAAATGAATCTTTTAGGACATTCTTTCCCATCTTTTCCACTTTCATCTTGCCCAGTGTGGAATAGATTTTGCCTAATTTGGGTTTACTGTGATGTTCATAATCTAATCCTTTTTGGATAATAATTTCACATAACGCTCTTTGTATGGCCCCAGAATGCACCTCAGTATTTATTTAAAAGGTATTCAAGTGTCTTCTTTCCTCTTTGCTGAATATTCACTAAGCCAGTGCAGTGCACAGTGATTTTACTTATATTAAAACTAAATTATTTAACCCCATAGGTACAGTGTTTCGGGATTAAAACTGGTTTAATTACATTCTCTGATAGGTTC